TTTTTTTAGGCAGAGTCCCATTATGTTGCCCTAGGTAGAGTGCAGTGGCATCACAGCTCACAGGAAACTCAAACTTTTGGGCTTAAGCGATTCTTTTGCCTCAGCCTCCCAAGTAGCTGGGACTACAGGCGTCTGCCACATGCCCAGCTATTTTTGTTGTTGCTTTTGTTGCAGTTGTCATTGTTTTAGCAGGCCCAGGCCAGGTTCAAACTCAGCAGCCCCGGTATGTGTGGCCAGCACCCTAACAAATGAACTATGGGCACTGAGCCAATGTCAGTTAATTTTAAAATTAACAAATAGTTCTCATTTTTTGAAGTTATTAAGTACACAGTTGTTAGATTTTTACAAAATAACATACATTTTTAAGTATATCGCAATAAAATTTCTTGAATGTGGCCTTATTTGATTATAGCTAAATTGATATGGCCTTCCAACATGAAAAGTTTCCCCACCCCTAACCTGGATGAATTCTTCAATCTGGCATTCAAGATCTTCTATAATCAGGAGAGTTTTATATTATTCAGTTTTATCTTCTAATTATTATTATGGTAAAATAATATGACATTTCACAGCTGTATAGTGCTTTTTAAAGAGGGGCTTTATGCAGATTATGCATTTTATCATCTCCTCTCACTTTCCAACATAGAACCTCTGCTCTAAGCAACATAAACTTATTAGCAAACCAGAATGTTATTACTGCCTCTGTAATTTCATTGTTCTATTATGCCTAACTAGAAAATTAGCTTTTCATTAACTCACATATAAAACCTTTCTAAAGTCTGAAAGTTCTTGGAAGTCTACTTGCTCTAGAGTCCAAAAGACCAGTATAGGCATCCCAGCTCTGAGACTAACTAGTATGTGACCCTGGCCAACTACTAAGCTTCAACTTCTTCATCAATGAATAAGGAGAAAAACACATATCTCAAGAGTTTTTTCACGAATGAAACAATTACACATTAAAATGTTTAACATGGAGATTAACATTGCTAATCAATAAATATTAGCTCCCTTATTATTATTATTACTGTTAGATGTCCAGCTCAAAGACTCATCTCCTCCATGAACTGTCTTTAACCACCTCGGCCCACAATGAATGCCCTTTCTTTGAACTCCTAAAGCCCTTTTTTCCCCACACCTGATTGCACCCTATGGTCCTGCTCTCTAATTGTTGGTATTTATGTAGGTCCTGATATCTGGTCTCCCCATCTAGATCTAAGCATCCAGGAATCATATCACCTCACTTTTTTATAGCCCTCAAAACACCCAACACAAAATTGGACTTTTTGTAGACAACTGAGCAAACACTTGTTAAAACTTACATTTAGAGAACCCCATGCCTTGTTATAATTTATATTTTGAGACCTTGTCACACAAGTAAGAGCCAATCACCAGTGTCTGTTGGAAGCTGTGAACCTTTCACTTTGGGATAACCCTGCAACACTGTAGGAGCTTTCTCGGTCTTATTGATGATGAATGGAGGTCCAACTTAACATTCCTAAACAAAACACATGTCTTACTTCCTCACAGCTGGTCAGTTTCTCTCCATAGACTGGGCTCAGAGAGTCTTATAGCAGGATGATGCCTCCTGTCAACCCTCACCTTCTTCCAAGTAATCTGACATCATCTCCAGGATGTACAATTGCCTCTTTGGCAAAGGAAGGTTAAAGCCAAAAGCTAGTTATGCCAAGACTGCTTAGATTTAATTCACTATGTCAGAGAATAAGGTAGTTGGTAATATCTGAGAATTCCTCCCTCCAGGAAAATAAATTAAGCAAATCTAAGGAAAATATTGGTGGTTTCCCAATAATAAATTAGATTTTTATTAGATAGCTATTTCCTTATTTTCCTCTGCAGTTTCTGACCCCTGGGCTGCAGACAGTACCAGTCCATGGCCTGTTAGGACCTTCACTGTATAATAGAAGGTAAACAGCTGGCAAGGGAGTGAAGCTTCATCTGTGTTTACAGCCACTCCCCATGGCTGGGATCATGACCTGAGCTCTGCCTCTTGTCAGATAAGCAAAGACAGTGGATTCTCACAGGAGCACGAACCCTCCTGTTAACTGCACATGTGAGGGATCTAGGTTGTGTGCTCCTTATGAGAATCTAATGCCTAATGATGTGAGGCTGAAATGTAATGTGTTTGCATCATCCTGAAATCTTCCCCTTGCCCCCATCTGTGGAAAAATTGTCTTCCATGAAACCAGTTCCTGGTATCAAAAAAGCTAGGGACCACTGAGCTCAGTGAAGGACTTTGCTGACCTGGTTTTAGGTGCTTTACTGATGATCCCACTTTTACGACTGTTCCCGAAGCTTCATGCCCCAGCACCAAGGGCTTTTTCACAACAAAATCCCCAATTCGACCATGCTGCCAGTAGTGGACATCTGAGCCGCAGATTCCAACAGAATGCATCTTCAGCAGCACCTCTGATAAGAGAAAAGAGAAGAAAATCAGTGAGGGAAGGAACAACCCCTCCATCACTCTGAGGTACCCCTGTGGTTTCCCTCTGGACAAGGGAGAAGGCTGGGTTTTCAAGGCCAGGAACAAAATTTAGACCACTGAGAAAAACAACTTAACAATCTCATTAAGTCTTACAATGCTCTGGGTATGGTAGCTCATGACTATAATCCCAGCACTTTGGGAGTCCAAGGTGGGAGGATTACTTAAGGCCAAGAGTTCAAGACAACCCTGGGGAACATACCAGGATTCCTTCTCTACAAAAAACAAAAAAGTAAAAAAATTAGCCAGGCATAATGGTACATGCCTATAGTCCCAGCTACTTGGGAGGCTGAAGTGGGAGGATTGAGTAAGCCAAAAGTTCGAGGTTACAGTGAACTATAATCACACATGGCACTATACCCTGGGCAATAGAATGAGACCTTGTTGGGCAAAAAAGCTTCCACATAGCTAATTAATTGCATGTGATGGTTAATTTTATGTGCCAACTTGGTTAGACTATAGTGCCCAGTTGTTTAGTCAAACACCAATCTACATGTTTGTGTGAAGACCATCTTTTAGGTGTGATTAACATTTAAACCAATAGACATAGAGTAAAGCAGGTTATCCTCCATTGTGCGTAGGCCTCAACCAATCAGTTTGAAAGCCTTAAAAGCAAAGACTGAGGTTTCCTGAAGGCAAAGCAATTCTCCTTAAGACTACAACATCAAACCCATCAGCTCCGGTGTATGTGGCTGGTGCCCTATAGCTGCTGAGCTATAGGCACCGGAACTGGCAGGTTTGAATCCAGCCCAGGCCAGCTAAACAATGACAACTGCAACAAAAAATAGCCAGGCATTGTGGTGGGCACCTGTAGTCCCAGCTACTTGGGAGGCTGAGATAAGAGAATTGCTTAAGCCCAAGAGTTTGAGGTTGCTATGAGCTGTGATGCCATAGCACTTTACTGAAGGTGACAAAGTGAGACTCTGTCTCCACACATACACAAAAATAAAATAAAATGAAGTAAAAAAGAAAAATTAAAAAAAGAAATCAACTCTTACCTAAATTTCTGGGCTGCTGGCCTGTCCTATCACACTTGCCAGCCTCCACACCTTCACAATCAAATGAGCCAATTCCTTAAAATAAATCTCTCCTCCACCCACACATATATGCGCACGCGTGCACACACACATCCTACAGGTTCTGTTTCTTGGGAAACCCCTGAACAATAAATACACTAGGTAAACAAGATATGATTAGTAGGATGAAATGTACTAATCTTTTAAGAGAACAAATTGTTTTCCAGGAGGCAGCTGTTTTCCAACCGTTAATACGCTATGCCCGATTCTTATCTATTCATGAGACAAATCTGGCAGAATCGCAGCTTGATAATACTTTGTGAACTATCAGGCTGAGTTCTTTATGCCTGTTGTTTCCTAAAATGGTACAGCTTTATGTAAACCATCCAACGATATGAACTGGTATTTCCCCTTCAAGGGTTTTAATAAAGTGAGATTTGGTAGTGTTGCTGTTGTCAGTTTTCCAAGTTTAAAAGAATGATGTTCCTGAGCCCTTCTGCTAAAATGAGTACTAAAAGATCATGGCCCTAGTCTGCCTGAGATGACCATGTTACAAATATGTCCTCCAAGAAAATACCCTGCCTTAGAAAGATGAGGAGACCCAAAAGCTCTGCTGTGCATTCAGATGTCTTACGTGCCACAAACCACCAGCAATCCACCAGCTGTGGCTCTGTAGAACTTTCCTCCCCTAGGTTTTTTTTTTTTTGAGACAGAGCCTCAAGCTGTCCCCCTGGGTAGAGTGCCATGGCATCACAGCTCACAGCAACCTTCAACTCCTGGGCTCAAGCGAGCCTCCTGCCTCAGCCTCCCAAGTAGCTGGGACCACAGGCGTCCGCCACAACGCCCAGCTATTTTTTGGTTGCAGCCGTCATTGTTGTTTGGCGGGTCCAGCCTGGATTCAAAACCACCACCTTAGGTGTATGTGGCTGGCGCCTTAGCCACTTGAGCCACAGGCGCCAAGCCCCTCCCCTAGGTTTTGATGAACAGAGTAAGAAATGGCAGGGTAAATTCTGAGGTCAAAGGTAGAAAGAAAAGGTCATGTGAATGAATTAAACTGTCTCAGTTTCCTCTCTCCACGTTACCATTTTGCAGGAAGAGATGAGATTTGACTTGCTAGAACACTTGGTGAAATGTATTCTTCTCCAGTTCCCCATTCAAGTGCAGCAAGGGACAAGAAAGGGAGAGTGGAATGCTGCTTCAGGCAAAGACTGTACAGGACCTTTTGGGGCCAGGAAAGCCTTTATTTGGCCACTTTCAGAATCAACAAACGACTTTTCAGGATATGCGAGTCTCTTTCACTTTTCTGAACACGATTGTGTTGGTGACAATACATAAACCCTGAACATACATTACTTGCTAAGCACTGATAGAGCAGATTATTCTTATCACTTCTAAGTCAATAATCCAACTGACCTTTGAGTAGCAGAGCTCTGCAGCTACCGGGAAAGCTCCCTTCATCTGATGTTCCTACAGATGCTGTGGCTCTAGGGTGCAGTAGGGCAAGGTGGGAAAAGACATCCTCGACTCCTCAAGGGCAGAAAGGGGACCTGAGTGGCCAGGTACATGACGGGGAAGGTAAACTCTGCCCAGTGCCCCAGCCGCACTTCAGAGTCCTACAGCTAATGAAGTGGGGTTCCAGGGATAGGAGGGATTGGAGAACTGTCAATGGGATATGCCCTAGCCAACAGGCTGGCACGACCTCCCCAGGAACAGGCACCACCCCAGGCGGCAGCACATCAGCTGAACCTGGCAGGCTCACCCAGTGAGAGGCCTGGAAGGAGTGGAGCAAAGGTGTTAGGAACCCTGCCCCAGTGAGCTCATTCACTCTGTGCTAGGTTGAGTAGGGCAGGAGGCAAGGCTCCAGGGGCCCCCCACCACCTCTACTGGACAGAAGGTCCTAGACTGCCCTACTCTTCCATCTCTGGCCTTCCTAAGGAGTGGGGGAGGGCTGGTGCTATGCTTCCTTTGCTAATTAAAAGATTATTTGCTGTAGCTCACTCCTTTTCAAAGTTTGGGTTTGGGTTTGGGTTAGGGTTAGGACATGATTTGGGAACTTGAATAGCAGCTTATAGTAGATGGGGTTAGTCTGTTGTTAGGTCCAAAGAATAATGCTGCCTTTGGTCCATACACTGTACATCAGAAGTTCTTTGGGATAAGTCAGCATTCTGTTATGATACATTTTCCTAGTTTTTTTTTTTTT